CTTCCTGGGCTATTGTTTCACCCTGATGTGGAGCTCTTCTAAGCTCCACTTTTCTCTCTTCTGTGTCCCTGACACATCTCCCTCATGCTGGGCACGCAGCTCCTTTTATACGCTCCAGGGCTCCACCCCTGAAGTCTTCCAGACCTGACAGTTTTGCAGTCTTCAGTCTGGTCCAGGTCTTCTTCTGGTCTTCTGCCCCTCCCCCTCAGGAAAGGTGCGTGACTTTATTTCTCTTGCTGCCTCCTGATTGGTGGATGGACTCCACCAATCAAAACAGCAGGATCTCAAGGCTGGGACTCAACCCAAGCTCTGAAAGGTAAGCCTGCTACAAACAGAAACTATACCATGTGACACGTAGCCAATTATATCGCAAAAATAGTAAATAGCTGAACTGAATACATCAAGAGCACCATTTACATAGAAAATTATTTATCTAAGGAATTTGGTAATATAATGAAGACATTTAAAGAACCTGATATTCAGTTTACAAACCTTTTGCAAGCAAGGGAAAAGGGCTATATTTGTAATGAATGCTACCCACAATAACTAACCAGAGAAGCTGAACTGGGAGCTGATTGCAAAACTTCAGAAGTTTAGAAATAAAACATGAAAATAATTTTCATGGTGTTCTCCTACCTGTACCACCACTTTCTAAACCTGTTCTACTAGATTTGAGCCTTTATCCATGAATCCCTCCGAGGTAGTTTAGCAACATCTCTATTTTATGTAGATGTAAGTGAACACACCATAGGCGACGTGTAGGGAGGGTATGGGGGGGCATGCCCCCCCCCCCGAGATTGGCCTTCACTGGCCAGGGATTGGGAGGCAACAGCCAGTGCCCCCCTGAGAATGTGGGGGTGCTGAGAGAAGCGCCGGTGGCACTTCCAGTTTGCCAGATTCCCCACCCCCCCAGCTGGTGATTGGCTGTTGGGGGATCCCCCACCCCCAGTTGGCGATCAGACACTGGTCCCCCCCACCAGGATCAAGAGGCACCAGTCACCCATGGACACACAATAAGATAATACAAGTTGCCCAAGGATACAAAGAAGTCAGTGACAGAGCCAAAAATAAAGCTTAAGAATCTTTGATTGCAGATTTTACCACTAGGGTTAGTACAAACATGCAAAAAGCCTAAGGCTGAATATATTCAATCTTCATGGGTCAGTCTAAGCTGCATAACTTGAACTGACAAGCAAGTGAGCAGACATTCACTTTTGATTCCACAGCCACATGCCTGCAGTGGCCCAGGCCAGAAGCTGGGGGGCACTAGATCATGCCTCCCTACTCCACTAGAGCAAACAGCTTGGTCCAAGGGTAGCCTGCCCACCCTGTGAGGTGGGGGAAGCTTGTGGGGGAGGTGCAAAGCATCCTGGGATGCTGGGGGACTGTGTGTTAACTTGAATCTGGAGGGGAACTGGGACAGAAGTTTAGAAAACCAATATAACCAAAATCAGTTAAGTCTGATACTGCATCCATCCAGTTTTATCTTAAACCCGTTTTGGACATTTTGAAAGCAGTTTATGTGTACTGAACATCTATGGTGTTACAGATATGGACTGGTTTCCAAACATTTATACCAGTTCATGTGTAATTTCTGTCCGTAGCCTAGATGCTACTGTTCTTTTCTGATCTTGCAAACGTGCAGCTGGTACTGCTGTAAATTACTATTCTTAAAGGTTAATTTATGAGAAGACACTTAATCTATATTATTTAAATAGTGATTATTAAACACATGTTGGGGGTTTATGATATAATAGGTAATTATCTGCTTCAGAATTGTTAGTACAATGCACTGTATTTTTGTCCTCAGCAATCAGCTGGTATTTGTTTAACCCATAATAGCATTCTTATTACACCTAAATTAAATATACTTTATTTACAGCATCACTGCAATTTTTCAAATGAAAACAGATATGGCTGCTATGATTTAAACTAAGTATAGTTTCATACCATTTAGAACTTCCTTCCTTGTTATAATAAATCTTGAGCCAAAGTTCATTTAAATTAGTAGGTACCTACTCATTGACTTCAGTGAGCTTTGATTAGGCTTAATGTATTTGATATTCATTGCAATGGACAGGCACACAGCATTTGAACCCTAGTTGCAAAGGAACGGGATCAAGCAAATGTTCTCATTTCATAGCTTTTATATTGTTTACACTGACATTTTTAAGCTAAGAAAAGATTTCCATCTAATTGGAAGAGAATTAGGCTCCTTTGTGCCTCTTATAGCACTGAAGGGTCTGAGGGGACAGGGTCTGAGGAGAAGAGGAATGGTAACAGGACATGTTATATGACTAAAGTGTCTTCACTGTAGAGTTGCATCTATTGACCTACAGGGTGGGTCTATGCATACATTTATGCTGTTTTAAATTTAATGTGAAATAAATTACTGTGCAGTAAGTGGGAATAAGCCAGGTGTTAAAGTGCATTAATGCTGTGTGTGGACTGACTTGTGGCTAAAGCTAGTTCCAAATCAGTTCGCACACAAAGTGTTACTGTGCAGTAAAGCATCTACACATGTATTTAATTGGGCATACATTTGGTACTTTCATGATGCAGGTATCAAATTTACGCTCAAGTCATCATAAGTTACCATATTTACTGCATAATACGGGCATGTAGACACGCACCTGTACTGCATGGTCATTTTGGTTACTGCACAATAAATGCACACATGTACATGCACCCACAGTTGAGTTACTTCTGTCATGCTAGCCTAGAGCAAGTGATAGCAACCACAATGTAAAATAAGGGCCCTGTTACATGTTGCACTTTGAGCTGCTTAAGCGTTGATGGGTGTCAGTGCTTGCTTGAGTTTGGAGCAGCCACACCTTAAGGCTAAAAACCTGACCTGCACACCTGTGCCTTGCCTGTAAAGGGCTGATGCGTAGGGGCCTGACTAGGAGCTACAGTTGTGACTTATCACTAGAAGGCCAGTAAGCCAGGACAGGCCTCTGTCCCTGCTCTAGGTGGGGATGGGTTGGAGGGAGGAGGGGACATGAAGCAAGGAGGCAGAGAATTAATAGGATGAAGGTGGGTAATGAAATGGGAGATGGAAAGGAAATGGGGGGTGGGGGAAGGGTAGTGAAATGAAGGAGATCAGCCATTGAAGGATAAAATAAAAAGAAGTCAAAAAATATTTTAAAAGAAATAAAGAGGAGGTAAATTAAAGAAAGCATCATGTTTTAATAAATTGGGATTTGGGATTGTGCTATAGGGATGCTGGTCATGCAGTATAAGGGTGCTTCATGGGGTGGTTGGGAGGTGAGAGCAGTGAGTGAAGACACTTTTTGGGAGCTATTGGCTCTGCCCTAGAAAGGAAGCCCCAACTCATGGGGTCCCAATCCAGCCCCAAGATAGTTTTTCCTCTCCCCACAATAGATCTCACTTCTGGACTCATCTGTGCCCTGCACTGTGGCTAGCTGGCATATGCTCTGCATGCTGTTTGCATGGGGTTACAGTCCTGGGGGTGGAAAGTTTGCAGAGGCAGGAGGGGGGTTGGCTTGGTGCTAGAACTGCTACCTGGGCAGTAGAGTTTAATGAGTGGAAACTTTGTGCACACAGGACTGAAGGATTAGGGAGGGGACACTGCAATCTTGGTGGCTCATCTGTGGAGAGTGGCCACACTTTAATGGAACACAAGCTGGGTAACACGGATCAGAGATAAGCCTGACCTGGAGTGGCGTAACTTTAATGTGCCTAAAGCATGCTTAAAACTAGTTTCAGGCATATGTGGAGCAAAGATTCTGAGTGTGAATACCATGGTTCTAAGCACTAAAGGGAGCTGAGTTTGGTCTTGAATTTGTAGCTGCTGTTAATATAAATCAATGAATTGTGTGTTTTATGCCATGAGCTCGAATTACAGGAAAGATGAGCCCTATGAAACCTGCTATCTACACTCTGATCACAAGAGCAGCTAGAGAAATATCCCTGTCTCTATTCAGTGCCTTTCTCAATACTGACTGTCCAGCATACTTGAGAGCAGGGTCCATAGTCTCTCTTTCATCCTATTCACATATATCCTTATAGCCCCCCACTACTAAATTTCTTCAGTAGAATTATGCCAAATAATCCTACCTAAGCTTCTGAACTCATATCACTTCCTCAGTATCTTGAATATTTGTAAGGCTGCTTCCACAGTGGTATCTCTTTCATAGATGATTTGTAATAAGAGTTTCATTATATGGTGACAAAACACAGGGGAATATGATAATACTATTCAGCATGTAGTGCAGTTTAATATTATGGAAAGGAACTGCTTTTTTCTCTACAAATGAGAAGGCAAATAAGTGGCTTTTTCTATTTCTGTATTATTACCCCTAGATGAATTTTGATGCTGTTTTGCTAGTAATGTTGTATAAATAAGCTGAATTGCATGGTGCAGATTTATGTTTACACAGCACCATTTTCTACAAGAGATGCATATATGTAACATTTTTCAATCCCTCATGTATATCTCAGAAAAAATGTTGCCCTAGGAGGTTTGATTAACTCTGAATTCCCCAACGTGTGTGATGTTTCATTGATAAACTTTTTGGTCAGTAGTCCTCCATTTCTAACAACTGATTTCAATGAGATGCTGACTGTGCAGTAGTGTCGCTTGACAACAACCATGATGTGATGCTACTGCATAGTAGTATTCAGATATTGAACAGTAGCGTCATGGAAAAGACATTCGTTGGCCTTACTGCACAGTAACTTGGGTTACTGCACAGTCATTTAATACTTGGTTTTACAAGTACTAAATGACTGTGCAGTAATGACTATGCAGCCAGTGGCAGGAAGCCCCCTTTGTTTCTCCCCAAAATTTCTGCCCTGTGACAATGTGATTAGGATGGGCCCAGCAGAGGAGACACACCTTACCCTATCTCTTTAGGTAACCTGAGCTGGCTACATTCCTGAGGGAGGGGGGAAACCCGCTCCCTCTGCCTATGTGACTGGTATCGGCTACCTGGGTGAGGGGCATCTACCTGGGGGGCTAGAGTATGCCTGGCAACTAGTGATGTATTTCAAATTGGTTGGCCAACAGCTAACCAGAGCTGGCCTCCACTGGACTAAGTGAATGAGGTCACGGGGGCTATGTAAGTTAAGAGTGCCCAGGAGGAGGGGGCAGCAGCCATGCGAAGGACTCAGAGGAGCTTTACCATCTGAAACTGGCTCTCTCCCCCAAAACTCATGAGCTAGAAATGGCCTGACTCCAGAGGGAAACTTCACCTACCTTTGGAAGATGCTTGTGAGAAAGCTACTTGAGATCTGATTAGATATCTAGCTGGCAGTAACTCAGATGTGTGATCAAAAGGCTACCTCAGCCAGACTGTTTGCTCTTTAGGATTTCTAGGATATTGCTCAATCTTGT